AAGAAATATTTATTAATCACCTAATAACAAGAACGAAAAAAAATCAAAACGATTTCCTTTTCTCAAAGACAAAAACTAATTCTAAAAACAGAAGGCTGCTAGCACAACTTCTGCAGTATTAAAATGTGAAACACAATATAGTAGCTATTGCTAACCATAAGAATATTGTTTTATTCTATCTATTTTCGGGCACATTTCTTCATCATCCTTTTACTTAATGCTCCACAAATGCGGTGAGAAAGTAGTTCATATATTATAAAAAGACGTTACGGATATACGACCTTTGATTGTATATCACTAATGTCTGTCATGATCTATGGAAAATGAAAATTTGTACTCTATATATTTTAACACTTCTTTTAGATCGTGTTTCACAAAAATCCTTTTTTTTTTCGTTTTTAAATGAATTTATAATTGATCTATGTATATGAGAAATAATTAAGGTCTTACATACAACAGCCTGGCTATTTTTTGTTTGCGGTGATACTGATGGATGTTTTTCCACACAATGTATAAGTAATGTTCGTGGAATAAAACCGGATATACCACAATGTGGACATGTTAATGAAACAACAGTTCGACGAGGTATTGATTCACCTGCATAGAATAATTCTACAATAAAATTAATATAAACATGTTTATATAAAATCGATTAATTATTAATAATTAACCACAAGCTGTTTCAGTTAATATACATTGCATTGGATGATCATTTTTATGATTTTGACTTTCAGCATCAAGATCATAACATGAACCACATAGATCATAATTATCACATAATAAACATTTATAACGACGACCAGGAAAATTTGTTCTCATACATGCGTCACATGAAACACCTAGACAAATGAAACAAAAAAAAACAATATGAAAATTTTCTTGCTTTTTTTTTTATTCGAAGATGATGATATGTTTTCATACCAGTATGTGAAGACATTCTTTTAAAATCTAGAAATACATTGAAGATAAATATTTAATAAAGAAATTGAAACCAACGAACAAAGACATTTATTACAGAGAAAAAAAATAGAATGATAAATAATGTCAAATGGACTAGATTGGTTTTTTTTAAAAGAAAAAAAGATATAATGAAAATACTGTTTTCAAACATGTTCATAGTCATGATTAGATTTAGATGTTGTCGTTGGATTATCAGCAAGAAATGATTCAAGATCATCATCATCGTTTGTATTTGCGGTTGGTAATTCATTAGTAGTCGAATTATTTGTTTTAATTGGTGAAGATTTCTTTTTTTTCTTTGTTTTTGCTGATTCAGTTGTCGAAACATTTGTTTCCTTAAAATAAATTAAATAAAAAAAAATTTTGTTTTTGTTAGAAATTTTTTTTTTTAAATCTAACTTTTTTAGGTTTTGTTGTTGTTTTCTTTTTTTTTGATTTTGTTAATGTTGAATCACTATGAGTACTTTGTGAATCTAGAAGACAATAAATTTTAATCAATAAACTCTGTAATTAGTAAAATCCTACCAAATATATGTAATTCATTGTTTGATTGTTGGGATTTTGATGAAGATAATCGATCAAGATAATCAAGATCAAATGTTGATATTTGATGGTATACAGGAGGTGATATTGGTTGAGTAATCTATTAAAAATAAATATTAATGATTTATCTACAACTTGGCCCAAAAAGTCACTGGACAATTTTTGATTACGAATAACTTTTCATAGAAACAAGAAAGAGAGCTTCGATTTTCACCATTGAAAAGTGGAAACTTGGCAACATTCAACCATATAAGAAACATAGTATTTAAAAAACATTATTAGGAAGGTTTTGAAAATCCAAGATTTCCAGAAAATCGAGATTTTTGAATTTGTCATAGAACTTTAAATTCTGAGTATATCAGCTTGTTTAATTTTGATTTTTTTAAAAACCTTCCAAAAAATGATGAATATTATGTCTCTTATATGGTTAAACCCCTCAAAGTTTTCTCTTTTCAACGGTAAAAATCACAGCTCTCTTTCTTGTTTCTATCAAAAGTTAATTACAATAAAAAACTGTCCGATGACTTGTGAATCATCCTGTATAATAAAAATCAAATAATATATTTACAATTTCGACTGTTGGTGATACTGGCTCATATTCAGTTGATTCATTAGTACTATAATATATGAATATGAAATTTTATTTATTTATTTTTATTAAAGTAACATACATAATCGGTTGTTGATGTTGTTCATCATCGGAATCTAATTGTTCACAAAATCCTTTTACCATTGGATTTACTGTTGATTCATTTTCACTATTTAAAAAATAATAAAATAGAAGATTTTTTTTTTTGAAAATAAATTAAATAAAAAATAACTAACTCATCTGTAGTTGAAAGTTTTGTTGTTGAAGATTTAGGTAATGTATCAATAGATAAATGTTGCTGTTGCTGTTGTTGTTGTTGAGATGTAGTATTATCATCGACAAGGAATGTTTCATAATCATTATCATCAGGTATAAAATCATCAACAGTTGATGTCACTAACGGATTTGATAACTGTGTTTCTGTATAATCATCTGATGAATGATGTTGTTTATCAACAATATTATCGTTAACTTCATTATAAATAGCTGATTTTGAAACAGCTAAAAAAAAACATATATATATATATATGTTATGGTCAAAATTAAAATTTGACGAATCGTCTAGGCAAATTTAAAATTTTTTTGCCTAGTCAAAAAATCCGTCAAATTTAAAATTTGATTGAATTTTAATTTTGACTACAACATATATATTGAATAAAAAAATATTTTCATATAAGTAACCTTGTTGAACAATAGGTTGAACAGCAACAATAGGTGGTTTCTGTTTAGTTGTTGGTGTTGGTTTAATAGATGATGGTGGACTTTCAGTTGTTTTTTTAATAACTTGTACAATTGTATTTATTGATGATGATTTTGTTTGTTGTTGTTGTTGTTGTTGTTCAGCTAGAGCTGCTGCTTGAAGTGCTTCATCATGGATACGTTTTGCTTCTTCTAATGGTTTTGCTTTAGCTACAATATCACCAGCAAGTGCTTCTTGTTTTGAACGACGTTTATTATTAAGCATTTCAATAAATAAATCATAATTATTCTCTGCACTATGAGAATATGTATCAATTTCTTCTAATGATGTATCCATATCACGTGCATTTACTTGTAATTGTTGAAGTAAACATTCACGTTGTAATTGTAAAAATGGAATATTTAAAAATTGATATATATATTGTAGACCAAATCCATTACGCATTGAACTTTCACAATAACGAACTACTGAACCCATTGTACCTCTTCAAATAAAACAAATAAAAATATAATTTGTGACATTTATTTGAAAAATAATAAATAATAGGTGACAGAATGTTTTGCATCTAGAGTAGGTTCAACAACTTTTATAAAAATTCTCATCGAGAAGTTAGGAACAGGAAGGAGAGGAAGCCGAATTAATCCATGCTATTTAGATGAAGCACACGTAGTGCTTCCTTTTCTCAATGCATATTTTACGCTGTATAAAGTTAGTATTGTTCAGAAAAAAATTTGCATCTTGTGTTATAAAACATACACATGAAGAAACTAGTCAACATTTGTTTTTAATTAATTTCGATCTGTTTAACTGGAAAAACAGAATAATAGTGAAACAGCAGCGCGTTTATAAAGAATCTTTCCTCAAGAATATTTTCTAAGTCTTGTTCACTACAAAAATGCTACTAGCCGCCATCAAAGACGATGAAAAATATTTGACGTGTGTATACAAGAATTTCGATCTACTGCATAAATCTATCAATCTAATGAAATGAGAAACATATATTTGAGCCTAGGACACACCTGTATCTTAGGTAGCCTTCAGCCTGCGCAAGCCTCATGCTTCTGTCATCTATGAAATAAATACTAACCTATCGAGATTTTCGATAAAACTCAGACATGCATCTATTGGTACTTTTCGATGATGACACATATCTAATTGATTTCCAATAATTAATATTGGTATATGTGCTGGTACTTTAACAATTTCTCTTTCAATATAATCCCATGTCCATGGTTTTGTTATATCATAAATAAATAAAACACCAGCTGTACTTTTATAAACATCAAGAAATTCAGCATCAAGTGATACTTCAGCAACAGGTACATTTATTGTATTTGATAATTTAAGTGATGGATTAATTGGACGACGTTTTTTTCTTGATTTATCAACAACATCCCATACTTCAACTTTAATAATTGCATCTCCACATACACGTGATGACCAATTTATTGTTGCAACACGAATTTCATCTGATGGAACGTAATCTTCAACAAATTGACAACCTTGTAAACGAGACCATAAGACTGATTTGCCTGTATTACATTCACCACGTATGACTAATTTCACTATTAAAAATCAAGAATATATGTTAAAAACAAACAATTGAATGTCCTTGAGTACAATAATATCTTACTATTATATTGTACACCTCGAGCATATTTTTTTTGTAATCCTTGACTAAGTGGTTTAAAATTTTCATGTGATTTTGATGTTAACATTGCTGAATTTGATCCATTTGAATTTGTTGATGTATGATTTATATTTGTGACATTATCTGGTATCGATTGATTAGGATCATTAATTGCTGTTCCACTTGTTGATGATGAATCGTTTGTTGTAATCAAACGTTTTAATGCTTGTACAAATGACATCTATTTTATATATATATGCGTGTGTGTGTAGTTTGAAATATATTATGACAAGAAATTCGTATATATTTTATTTTTAGTATTTTATTTAATATGTTTTTTTTCTCATCTCGTGAACTATAAAAAGATCATCAATGGCTAATGATGAATCATAGAAAAATAAGCAATGTTCTCAAATAGAGTTGAAGAAAATAGATGGAGATAGTTAACAACAACATAGTTTGTTCATGAATAAAATAAATCATAAATTTGTACAAAAAAAGAAAAAATTTTCATGAACAATTTCATCTATTTTTTTGAAAGAAAAAAACAAAAAAAAAAATAAACTTCACTTTGAAAACTATAATCTATGACGATAGACTCTTCGTGGTAATCGAATATAGTATGGATATGAATATGCTGATGGTCTTCGTTGCATAGTATGATAATACCGTCGTACATGAAAATTTCGATTTCTTGGATATATAGTATTTGCAAATACATTAACAATTGGAAGTTGAGTTAATACTCGTTCAAATCCATTAGACATTTTATTTAATATTTGGCCACTATATGCTAGAGAATCCTGAAAATATGTTAAAATTTGTGGTATAATTTGTTTTTGATTTCGTTGATATAATTCATATTTTTTTAATTGTGACCAAAAACCAACATTAGGTGAAGCTAAATATCGTTTAGATTTGACAAGAGAATATGCTATATATAATGGTAGATGATGATGTTTTATAAGATAAGCTAAAATAAATGTTATTGAACGTGATCGACCATGATGACAATATAAAAGTGTTCGTCGATTTGAAGTAACATTAGCAGCTATACGATCAGCAACTATATCAAAATAACGTAAAGCAGGAAATGTTGGATTATCTATTATAGGATATTTTAATGATTCAATACCACTTCGAGATGGAAATGTAATTTGTGGTAATTCTTTTGCTAAATTAATTACACAAGTAATACCATGTGAAGATATATTTGTAAATTGTCGAGCTGTATTTTCAGCCGTAACAAAAACATATGGAGTGATTTGTGAAACATTATAATCGATTAATTCTGGTATAAAATTTACGTTTGATGGTGATGAATCTACGAAATAGTGTGTATTTGTGATCATGTCGAAATCAAAATAAATACAAAAATACTAGCAATAGTGTAATAAATGCACATTATAAATAAAAAAGAAACAATTTTAATGATAATGTTTGTTTTGGCTGTTTCAATTTGAAGGACATCAGTAAAAGAGTCGAATAATTTTACAGGTAAATGACTGGTCGTTTTTTTGATTTTTTGTTTTCTTTCAATCTTTTTGTTTTTAATTATTAATACTCCAATTGTCATTTTGTTTACTATTTATATTCTGTTATAATTTAAAATTACACACAACTATCATTTATACTTCGAATCATTTATTCTTTCATAATTATTAACAAAAATACAACGCAAATATTCTAAATAATTTACATCAAAATATAATCAAACCTTCAGGTCATTATGTGTATTTTTCTCTCGTATTCATGAAGTGATACAAATAATTATTTGTCTATGTCTATTTATTACATATATAATATTTCATAGAATTTCTACGAAAAAAACAATCTCACACTCATGATATATATATATATATATATATATTTAATGCAAAGATGTATAAAATACTATTGGATTAATACTTTCTGCTTTACGACCATAGTAATAAATATTCAATGAATCTTTAGCATAACCATTGCCTAATGAAACAAATGTTGATGCCATTAGTCCAGGCATTTTGTCACCTTGATAATAAACATGAAATATATCTTTTGCATAGCCATCATCAAGTACTTGAAATGAATTCGGATGTGCTCCATTAATAATATGACCAGCAAAACACATTTGAAAAGGATCACGACCATAACCAAAACCAAGGTCTTCAAATGACATAGTTGTCATTGAATTAATTCGTTCTCCACGATAATAAACATGAATACCATCAGTAACGTAACCAGATCCGAACATATGATGATCAAACATTATTATATTATCAGAACTTGTCGAATTAATAAGTTAATAAAATGTACAAAGGAGACCGACAAAAAGTATTAATGAATCTTTTTTTTTTCTTTTCTCCTTGTTCTTTTTTTGTTGTTGATTATATTGAAAAACAAAAAAAAAAGAAAATTTTTAATGAAAGAACCCGCAAGAAAACAACAGTATATTATAAGCCTATATATGTTAATAGTATGATGTTAAATGAATGCAACATGAATGAAATCGAGCATAGAAACATAGCATTGAGCAACGAGAACAAATGAAAAAAACATAAGAAACAGACATATTCCCTGAGGTAAAAAATATGCTTCAGCAATAATAACATCATTTCAAAAGTATTTTGATGCGTCAAAAAAATATCTTGATGTGTTATTTAATAAAATGCAATTGTATCTTGCATCATTGCCTCAATATATATATATATATTGAATATAAAAAATATATATACACAAATATATAATTTTGTTATTTATTTACATTGTTTATCTGTATTTTTTATTTATATTTGTCCAAAATAGAGACGAAATGTAATGTTTTAAAACGCACCAGAGAGAAACAACAAAAAACAAACAGTAACGACATAAAAATAGGCTGTATGATAATGGATATAATATTATTTTTTTTATTCTCTCATTTAAAATTTTCTGATTTTTTTGTATCATTGTCGAACAATAAAACAAAAAAAGAAACAAAAAAAAGACACATTATAATAATATGAATGATAAGTATACATATACATATATAAATATAAATACAAATAAATAATAATACATAAGTCTTGTTTATTTTCATTGGTAATCAATCAATCTATCATTCATTGCTGTACAATCACAACAGTTGATACACAAAACAGGAAAAAAAAATACTGGCTAAAACTATCTGAATCAATTCTAATGATGAATTGAACATAAAGACCGGATCTATTATAGTTTTGTTTTTCATATTTACTTGGAAATAAAAAATCTTGACTAGTTATCTTGTTGTGATTGTATTTGTTTTTTTGGTGGTGTATGTAAAGATTTCCATTCATCCCATTCATTATGATAAATAACATCAATTGTTATTGAATTTGGTACAGTTACTTCAGCTGTTGTTGTTTCTCCATTCAAACTATATGTATTATATTCATCATATAAACGATAATAATAATCAGTTGCTAATTGTGTTATTAATGTTAATGTTAAATTACGTTCATGTGCCATTAAACAAACTGTACTACGTTCAATAATTAAACGTAATTGTAATAAATAACGATATTTAGCTGAATCATCATTAGAAAAATGTGATGATAAAAAAGCTAATAATTTATATTCTTGTTCATTAATATCAGCATAATCAATAAAAAATCTTGAACACATTAATTTTTCAAGTTGCCATGATGCTATACCATTATCATATGGACGATAACCACGTGTTAATAAAAGACAATATCTAAGTAAACCACCACCACGTATACGTTCAGGTGATGTTGTTGCAATAAGACGACGATTAAGATGTGTTAAAGCACTTTCAAAACTTCCATAAACACATTCAACTGATATTGTTGGTAAATGATGTAATGAAGATAAATAACGATTATTTTTTGTTGAACGATATTCTACATAAAAGAAAAAAATAGACTTTTGTTAATCTTCAGATTAAGATTTCGAAAAACAAAATATTGTTTTGTTTTGTTTTCTTTAATTCAATTAAACAAATGATTAACACTATTAGTTAGTTTTTCTTTTTTTCTTTTCGTTATCGTATTCAATACAACCTTTTAAGTGCTATTTACTTTGTAATCGATCTTATTTGTGTCCATACTCTTTGGTTTTTATATCTTTCCTGTGGGTTTTGATTAGTTCTGTGTGTTTTTTTTTTCCTTTATCATCTGTGCTGTTATACTGATTGAGGTTCTTCCACCCACTCTATTTTGCGCACGCGATCGGAATACAAAAGAAAAAAATAAGTCACTTCTATGCTTTGATTGATAAGCAGAAAAAAAAACAGAATCATATAAGTAAACTACAGCTGCAGTTTGTTGCATTTTTGTTTTTTTGCCTTATCAGTTTTATATCTCTAATACCAGCTGATGCTTACCATGTTGTTGCTTTGAATGATAATAATGATATTGATTATGATGTACTTGTTTTTTATTCGTTTGTTGTTGATATTTAAAAATTTGTTCATAATGATCAAGTAATGGATCAAGTAAAATTTGAAATGAATCAACACTAAATTGAAATTGTCTTTTCATACGATCAACAAATTTTAATTCAATATTTTGTCCATTGACATTACATAAAGACATTAATGCCCATGAATCATTATTTGATGGATTAATAACACGTACTACTTTTTCTACATATGCTGCTTGAATAATAATAGGTGAAAATGATAATTGAGAAGAATTGGAAGAATTTGTTGATGATATATGTCGAAATAAACATTCACATACAGTTGTTTTTATTTGTGTCCATGTTGATTCAGATGATAAATCACAACGAAATATAAAATCAATATCCGAATATGAAAATGATTTATCATTTGTTAAAACATAGGAAGCGGCACCTAAGATAAAAAAAAAGAAAAATATAAATAAAATATTTATGATTTGATTGATTTTTGTTTTTTTTGTCTCATACCTCCATTGAGACGCACATCTTTAATATCAATATGATTTGAATGAAAAGCTCGTCGTAATTCAAGTAAAAAATCTTTTGAAACAATATTTAATGTTGGAAAATTTCCTTGACCATGAATTTCAATGGGTTCTTCAAGTATTGAACATAATTTATTTACATGACGATTATGTAATGTTGAATAACATGTACGTTTATTAATATTATTAGATCCATTATTTATTTTATTATTTATATTATTTGACTCTGATGTTGATAATAATCTTGATTCATTAGTTGTTGAAATTTTTTTGGGTTTTTTATTAAAATGTTGTTGTTGTTGTTGATGATGATGAGGATGGTGAGGATGATGATGTGCTTCATTATGAATTGAAATTGTTTCATCACAATTTACAAGTGATGCATAACTTGATGCTGCTGAAAGTGATGACAATGGTGTTTGATCGAGTGATGATGGCAATGAAGAAGTCATTGAGTAAGTATCGTCAGTAGAACTCATTCGTTTTATGTGAAAACTAATTGTTTGTTGATCTACAATAATAAAGTGATAGAATGAACATTACAAAATGAAAAAAAACGGTGCTCAGAATAGCCTTGGGATAAATAGTTGAACGTTGGTGAGTGAAAAAGAAAGATAGAAAGAAAAAATAGAAAAGGAACTAGCTCGATTAATCTCATCTTTTCTCGTTCTCTTTTATTTTTTTTCTTTTTTTTTTTTTTTACTGGTATGCTTCTGTTTTTCTGTATGGTACGCAAGTGCGCCCACGTTCGTTGTCATTATTTTTCTGGAATAATGTTGTTAATAACGGGACGTGAAGAGGAGAAAGAGAAAAACGAGAGGAAAAAAGGTCATCAACAAAAAAAAAAAACGTTTCTACTAGTCCTGTCTCTCCGTCACTTTTTCTATGATGCTTGAATACGAGCCCGAAGAATAATTCGCCGTCCTCATCGTCATCACTCTCGATCACAATTGTCATTCTGCATTCGCACAAAAGATTTTCCTTCACATATGCGTAGGATGGCACAAAATTGCGCGCACACATTCAGAAATATTCCCATATACGTTCTTTCGGCTGAACGCAAAAAAAAAAAAAAAAAGAAAAAAAAAAGAGTAGACGTTATGCGCGAATTAGGCAATGAGCAACGAAGCAAGCGAAGGATGCGTAGGTGGACAACATTGACAACGACATTATCGACCGAAAATGGGAAAAGAATAATGATCATTTTTCCTTTTCTTTTATTAGAAAAAAAAACATCAGAAGGAAAATGTAGATATATGTAGGCGTACTAAGAATTTAAATTAAGAAAAATCTCCTACACATAAATAAAATATGTCGATTTGGCTTTTTTTCTTGTTCTTTCTATGGAATCTACGTAGTTCAGATTGTAACATTATTGTGATGTAATTTATTTATTATTGTTGATCGGATCAAAACATTAGACGAATCCGCAGATTAGCAATTAGCCTTCAGAAATAAAAGAAGGAATGACAAAGAAGAAGAAGAAGAAGAAGAAAAAGAAGAAATAAAAATCGGAGAGCATTCTAGAAAGACAAAACTATGTACGCTCTAATCACAGCATCTCGAGAAAAGATAGAAAAAGATGATGAGCATCACTTGATTGATTTTTTGAATGTGCATGACGCAATTTAGGCTCAAGTGTCATAACAAGCAATCAAACATTTTAACATAAGCTACATCGTCGGAAAAACGATCTAGCTTTTACGAAACGGAATATATTGACAATCATTATTTTTACCAAGGACGTTGTCATTTCGGACAAAGAAATTACCCAAGGGAAACAATATATAGATAATAGAAATATTACTGACTAACCCAGACAAAATATTTAGATTAGAAAAAATGAAAAAAAAAGAAGAATTTCTTTGTTTTGTAAAAGCAAAAAAAAACTTTTTTTTTGTCTTAATCGATTCAGTTTATAGCGAATGACAAAGTCTTTAGTTCTCTACTAAGTGAACAAGAAAATACACTCTGAGTATCCGTCTTCTTTTTTTTTCATTGATGATGAGCGTCTTTTTCACAATAAGTACAAAGATCAAATTTCCTTTGTATCAGTAATAAAAAACGGAATCTAAGAATAGAACCTTTCTTATTGACAGCTCTAGTAATTTTATCATCTTGACATAAATAATGGTCACATGATCAAGTTAAAAGATGATAGACTATATTCTTTTGTTTTTTATTTTACTAAGTATATGACGGTAGCTTATTATTCTTATCTTTATTTGGATGTTTTTCGCCAGGTGTATGCACATAGAGCGAAAAAAAAAGAGACTGAAAAAAACGAAATAATAAAAAAAAAGAACTAGGTTAAATTCTTTGATAAAGAATAAATTAGTAAAAATCGATTTGACATAATTTATCCTTAAACTATTTCATTAAAAACAAAAAAAAACAGTAAGAAGAATATAACATGTACGATCTTCTTATATAAATCAGAAGAAAAAAAATTTTTTGTCAAAAACCTACTTCGTTTTTAGGAATCATTCTGCTTTTTATTTTCTATGCATATATATATTTGTATTTATATATAAATACGATGTCGGTGAGAACGAAGAACGAACATTAATATAAAAAGAGAGAGAGAGAGATAGAGAGAGAGAGAGAAAAAAAAATAATTCAATGGCACTTTTTCAAAATAGAAAAAAAAAGAAGGAGGGTACGAGAGTATTATTTCGGATGTTGTTATTATCGATTTGATGAAAGAAATGAAAAGCTTATTCGTTTGAAATTCGATAAGGGTTATCAGATATGCTTTAATGTAGGGATCAAGATAGCTCTCTGCATACTTATTAATTTTAGCGTTTGTTTCGAAATATTGTTTTAATAAAAATATACATAATTATTTGATTTCTACAATATCCTAGGAGAGAAAACCATTCTTTTATTACCTTAATATTACGCTGAACAGTTCTTTCTTCTATTTAAAATCGATGTGTTATGACCTTGCTTTATCGAAAGAATATCAAAGAAAGAAAACAAAGGCAAGCTGTAAAAAGCAACTAAACAAGCGAAAAGTTAATCTCCCATCTGTTCGTGTTCGCACAAATATACAACCACACGCCAACGCTGATTATCATTTATCATCATCATCACCATCACCATCAGTGGTGAAGCTGGGCTAAGTCTTTGTCGTCTCTGTCTGTCTCTCTCGTTCTTTGTACTTTTGTTTTATATACGTATATACATAAATTCAACGCGTTTACTACAGGAAATATTGAAGTGACACGTAAATGAAGAGTAGCAGAGCACACCAAAAAGAAAGAAAAGACAGAATTTTACATTATTAAACTAGATAAAAAAAGAAAAAGAGTAAGTGATGAGCAACATACCAAACGGGAATTGTAGTAGTTTTATTAGCGTGATAGAAAAAAGAAGAATAAAAGACAGATTTCATAAATATATGCATGCATGCATACATTTATAAAGATATGTCTACTATCGGTTCATTTAGTTATTGTTATATTTTATTGTCAAGATACATGTAGTAAGAATGACGGCTCTTCAAGGTGACTTTTTTCTTCGGAACGACATCCGTAAAGAAAATTGGTGGTAATAATTAATAGAACAAGGCAATAAGACAGACCAAATAAAACAATAGAGTCAATTATTTAGAGAAATGATGTGATAGCCTACAGAGAATAGATAAATATTTTTTTGTTAGACCTCAAACAAAAAAGAACATAATATCAGTAAATATAAAATATAAATTAAAAAAATTTTATCATTTTGCCCTACATTTATAGAGAAAAGTAGGACACGTACTCTTATCTATTGAATCTTTCGTATGTGACTCTAAGTGTACAAATAACAAGTTGAACTTATTTTATCACAATTTATCAACATTGTTGTCTCTTGTATAAGAATCCAAAACAAAGAAAAAGCAAATAAATCACCAAAGTAAACGAACATTACATAAGTCATATTAAACTATAAGCAGTTTAAATTGACTATCTATATATAGTAGGTTTCATGATTCTAAATCTCACATATATTAGTTATTTTCAATCAAATTTATTATTATTAATGATATAATTAAAAATCTACCCACATGTCCTTGATATTATTTGAAGTATCACATAGTTAAAAATGACATCATGTAAAGAGTACGGAAAGCTGGAAACGTAAAAGTTTGATTAGCATAATCGTAAAATTTGTTTCGAATATTAAAAACGAATATCGTTAAGTATGGGAATATTTATTCAAACTACAATAAAACTCTAAAATAACATTAATTTTTTTTTCTATAAAGAAAGAAACAAAATTTGCTCGAAGTTTATGCATGAAAATATCAATTATTCCTTCATCAAGTAATTCTTAAGTATTCATAATATTCAATTAAATGTCATTCATTCATATCGAAATTACGCTTTAAAATTTATCGACATGAAGTAGGAAAAGGAAAAAAAAATTGAGAACGGAAAAATATCTTCACTGATCATTATCGTCTGATATATACTTAACTGTTCTTGCATTCTTTTTTATTTATTACAAAACATATACTTATATATTGATCTTAAACTATTCATCTAATGTTTCAAATAACATATATGAAAAAGGATATAAGAGATATCCTACTCTCGACGAAAAACAAATCGATACATCTAAGTTTTTCGATTATTTTTCTCCATTGCTGTTCGATTAACGTCTTCTCTATATCGTCAATGTATTTTTGATTATTTAATTGATTCTGAACAGCAGGAATTTCGTTTTTTTATAATGTTTTCATTCAATATTATCAATCTTCGATCAAGAAATTCGCTTCTATGATTTTTTTTCGAAGGGTTTTGTGAAGGAATCTATTCCAAAAGGCTTCAAATAGTGTCAATGAAAACAGAAAAAAACCTAATGTATGCATTACAGGTTGATGTTATTAAGAACAAAATGAAGCAAGAAAAAAGCAAATTTTGATTACATTATTCGAAATTATATCAAACATATACTTATCGCAACGAATTCGTAGATGCATTGTTTATTTTAGTCAAGAAATATGTAGAAACTTTTGTTTTACGTAAAAATCATAATGATTAAAGATAAAAATACCTATTATGCTGAATGCTTCGTATATTTATATGAATAAACCGTATCAATATAGTACTACTAGAGAGTAATCGATAACATTTATAAGGGGAATCTCCCTATGACGCATGCAAAAAAAAATTTCCCATTGAGATATAACGAATCATTGATTGAGTTTCTCTTTGTTTCTTTCTATTCGATGAAGTTCGAGAGAACAACATATCATTTTTCTAATAAACTTTTACTATAGATACGTTATATAATTGAAAAATGAAAGAACGCAATGAAATTTAATCTAAGAGATATTTAAAGATAGCTCTTCAGAAACTAATTTTCTCTCTTGATATTTCTATAAATAAATATGAACATTCACTTTCTTTTGTTACGCATTTTTTTTAATTTCCATTTATTTTAATCAATTGAAATATACGATTAAATAACAAAAAAAAAAAACCAATGCTTAATTTTCATCGATTGATTTTCCTTTTAAAGAATCTTTCTAATCTTTAGTGTTAAATTTAAGAAGATATATGCTTATCTTTACTAAGAGTTTTCAAATTTTGCTTACAAAAATTTTTGTTTTTTCTTTTTACAATATTTTTTTAACAACGTAGTTAATTAATAGCAAATCTTTACTTTTCGACAATATAATGCTCAAGTATGATATAACACTTCCTAGAAAATGTAGAACATCAGAATCACATATCATTATTATATTGGAATGTAATGTAATAAAATCTACTAAATAATATTTCAACTTAGTATGAAATACCAATAACTTTGAGTTTAAATAGCATCTATAAAGATATAAAAATGCCTGTTTATTAGCGTAGGTAGATCTTATAAGCTTTGATATTCGAGATTTATCTTTAAAGAAAAGAAAATCTGTTGGATATTTATAGAACTTTTTTTGTTATGTATAAAGATAATCTGTAAGAAAAGAAATATTAAGCATAACGTCATCGTATTCTAGATACGTAAGCAATTGAAATTAAACTTATCTTATCTTAAACTCTTATGTCATAGACAGATATCAATGTATAAAAGAACAGACATGTATGAGTTTTGATTTTATTTCATGATTAATTCATGTACAAATCAATATCAACTATAAATATAGATATATATATGTATTCTGATAAATTCGATCATTTTGTGCTAGAAAGTATATTTACTTTTGACTATGCACAAAAACAATATTTGCAAATGCATTCATCATTATTGAAAGTTTTTTCGTATCTTATTTCAAATAAAACATATATTTTATATGAATAAAGGAGACACAAGTATTTACACATGAATTAAATTATAATCACATGTATATTTTCTTAAGTTTTGATAGAACATAGAAAATAAAACAAATTAATACATAAAATATATCCAATAAAATTCAAAATTGTTTTACTTGTTAAATTTTTTTCAACTGATACGAAAAAATGTTATATTATTACTTTTGTATTGTTTTGATAAAAAATATTTGTTCTTTTTTTATTTTTGTATCAACCATTTCAATTTTATTTGAATGCATATGAAATTGATGTAAAATATCTGTGTTATATTTTTTTACTGATTTAAATCTATTTGTATCATTGAAAATTATTGCTTTGTATAGTATTTGTTCTTAAAAATCGAGTAGTTAAATTTTGCTAAACATGATATTTTCTCTGAATTTTTTCACTATGTGTTAATGAATAAAAATATTATTAAAAAATGATTCCACCAATTGAAAATATAGATTCTTAGTTTCATATTCTCTATTATCAATATAAAGATTTACCGTTTGATGAAAACATTAGAGATGTTGATAATTAATAAAATTTGATTTCTGACGAAAGAACCACCCAAACTGATCCTCGTCATCTGAGCTCATATTGCATGTTGATGATACGAGCAAAAGTATAAAAAAGGTCCGTCTCCATGGATCATTGGAGCCGAATTAAGATTGTTTTACTGAAATTTCGACCCAACTTCATGTATGTACCGAAAAATCAAAAGAACAGAATTTCAATGTTAAAATTTTGCTCATAGATAGACGTAATGACCCATAGAATATCTTGAAAGTATCAGTTGAAAATAATGCTTTTTCTGTTGAGATATTAAATTTTCAAGTAAACTTGTTTTTTGTATTATGCATGCGGCAAACGGTTATTTTTTTTTTGGAAATTCAATATCTCGGCAAGAGAATATTCTTTTCGACTGAAATATTTAGAATATTCTATGAATCATTAGATCCATCTATAGGCGAAACCTAATGTTGAAATTTTGCTTTTTGATTTTTCGGTATCTAAAACTGAGTCGAAAATTCAGTGAAACGATCCTAACTCAGCTTGAAAGATCTATGATGACGAATTCTTGTAGACTTTTTCTAGTTTTACCAAGGCCCAATATGAGCTCAAACGGCGAGTATCAGTTCGAATGTTTCCCTCGTAAGTGAGTGATTAGAGTGTACAACCAGGGCTGTGGTCCGAGGGAAAAACGAACCTTCTTCTAAAATATTCGATCTTGTACCAACTTTTTCCCTAGCAGAAAATGAAACAAAAATAAGCATACAATGTATTTGCGAGATGAATAGAATCGAAGAGATTCCAGCAGAGGAACAGCTTGGTAGTAGATCGTCTGTTGTGAGAGGAGTTGGACCACAGTGGGTTTCGTTCTTCTTTTCTGGCCACCACTTCTAGTGCTCCGAGAATGAAAGCACTTTCTGTCGAATTTTTAGCCCCTCCTACTTCTAGAAAGTACCAGTAATCCTGTATACAACATTGATTACTTGTCTTGTTAGTTTATTTATAACTTTCGACTTGTTTACTTGTGCAACAATACTTTTCGTTTTTCAGAAACTTCCAGAACAAAATAGAGTCTTATAACGTTTCAATATGAAAGCAAAGAGATAAAAACAGACATTTGTTTGTTTTGCAAGAAAACTTATTGTGTTTTGAGAATAAATAGTTGCTGATGAACACAAACTATAAACAAGAAATTTACTACTAATTAATCCATCCTAAAGTCAAGATTGTGTACCACGTGCTATATCACATTTAGGACAATGAAAATTGTCCTTCAAAAAAAAAATCTTTAGAATCTTTAATTTTCAAAGAAATCTTTTCTGTCAATACATTTCTTCAATCAAATCTTTTCCTTTCGATTATTTATAATACATTGCAACTGATCAAACATTGCATTCTTCCTTACCTGAGTTGGAAAATTCCAACTAAGCAAAAATCGTATGTTCTGTTCTTCACTTCTCAATCAAGCCCGATACACCATAGGAAAAAGAGAAAATATGCCGAATACATCAATTAAATTCTTAAATGACACGCCACTTCCGACTGCAATAAAAATGCTTGCAGCTTTACACATATGTAAAAAAAGAAAATCGCGCCTCTCAATAAGTTCTCATGTCTATCCGCAAACATTCGTGGGTGATGATTGTGTTGCAGCAAGTGCATTGAGGCTGTTCTGTTGCTGATCCCGTTTGGCTTTTTCTTGATTAATTAAAACTTGCTGTACGTGATTTGGCAGACCAGGATTAAGTGTCAACATGAATGGCAATATCATTTTCGGTGTTTCATTAAGATCAACAATAATTTTGAGAAAAAGTATATCATCTCGTACGTAAGAATTATCATCCTGTTGAATCATTGGAAGAGGAAAAAATTTCGGAATACCACTGGCTACATTAGCATCGTTTTGAGGACGTTGAAATGACGTAGACTTAACATCGGGACGAAAAGAATCGATAATATGTCGGTTGTTGCCTGTTTGATCAAATAAACAAAATGTTACTTTGTAAGAAAATGGCCATGGAAGTAAAGCATCAAATTCTCCTTTCATAAGTAAAAAGAATAGAGATATGTGAGTTCTTCTAGCGTTACCATCGCCATATAAATATAAACGTGCACGCATTTTATAACCAGTTGGTGATGAATAAAATATTGGAGAATAAATACTTGGTTGTCGTTCTGATTGAGCATCAGCCATTCGTTCTGCTACACGATCAACACGCCATGTTAATGTACCATCAGTTGATACATGTTGATTTTCTTCAAAATTTTGCTTCAATTGTTCAATTTCTTTCTGTATACCGTCTTGTTTTGGTTGTAAACTAGACATGACTGTATTTCTTTCATTAGCTGCTCTTTGAAAATGATTAACTTCTTGAACAGCTGCTTGACAAAGTTCATTTAATTTAACAAAATCACGACTTAATTCAACTGTATCGTCATTCAATTTTTGAACTTTTTCAGCTAAATCAGATAATTTTTCCGAGGCTTGTTGTTCAAGTTCATTATTCAATGAAGTTGATTCCATTGATTGATCTTGATCAGATGTTTCTGGAATTTCACGTTTTCCAATTAAAATTAAAGCAAGAGTTTCTTGATGTTTTTCACTCAATAAATGGTTTGAAAATTCGTCGATTCGAATCTTCAATATAAAATAGAACAATTATATTAAATTTGATTTAAAAGAAAAGAAATTCCTTTTCTACCATTTCTTGACAACAGAGTGGTGCTAAAGGACATGCTTGAAAGAGAGCTGAACATGATTTTGCTTTATGATCTTCTAATGTTTGTCTTGATGAAAATAGTTCATGGCACAGGTCACAAGGGAAATGAATGTGAGACTGATCTAGATGTTCCTATTCAAATATAGAATGTTATACCATATAGTTTGAAAAAAAAAAGAACTATTAAAATTCAAACTTGATAGCTTTTCAATGGTCCTTTCCACGAACAGTTCGCGTCCACTTTATGACCACAAATAACTGGAACTGAATCTAGTTCTTTTTTAAATGCACGATCAGGCATTACCTTTAATAATAAAATATATACAGTTTATCTTAACGATTCTTCATAGAAAGACAAATAGTTCTTACTTGATTTTTATAGAACGGACATTGGCATCCCCCCACAGGACAAGGCATTGTTCCATCATTGACTAGTGTTGCACGCGATTCGAAGCACCCTTTGCAACCTCTGTGCCCACACTCTGTCAATTGAATGGGTTCTTTGATAATTAATCGACAAAAAATACATTTCCATTTGTCGTCTATCTCTTCTATATTAAATATATGGTATCCGTATCGTAAATATTCTGATGTAGATGATGAGGAAGTTGAAGAATTGCTTTTCTCTGAAAGTTGTCGATGGGTCATTGGTATGAAAATTCACAGATGCTGAAAATAAATCTAAAACTTGAACAAGCCTTTTAATATAGAAATATTATTCACCTACACAAAATATGATTCATGAAAGGAGAAAAAATTTAAAAGTACTTATTCATGTATTAATAAAGCGCAATACAATATGAATCAGAACTTCGCGGGACCGGCCCGGGCTGTCCCGTGCCATTGCTCACGCTGAGGCACGTCTCGCGCTTTTTTCTTTTTCTAGTTTATGCAAACGTTTTTCAAGCGCTAATTAGTGTCTTCAGTGCTATTCTAGGACTCGTCAAACGATGAGATAAATTAATACACGCTCCACGTAATTTTAAGCGGCTTCGCATAGGCATGCGATATAGCGCGGAACGGGACGACACTTGTCCCACGGAGCTCTGATATGAATTTCCTAGAATAAATTTTACCGTCGACGACATCACCCGATTCAGTAATGTGAAAATGCCGAACTACATGCAGATAGGAGTAAAAGAAGCGAAAAACGAGATATCAGATACGATGCTAAAAGTGCAAAATATGAAATAAAATTACTTTATTCTTTTTTTCTACTGCACTAAAAATACCCATTTTACACTTTAAAATGTAATTTTAATATTCTATTATAAATTCGCTGATCAATTTGAGCTTCATTGTTTTTTTGTTGTCTTACTTTATAGCTAATCATATTTAAAAACGTACATATACTTTTTCATGCATGTATCAATTTCAAAAAAATAAATTATTCGTAATGGTATCATAGTAATATCTATTTTAAAGATGTTTTTTGGATATACTCACATTATTTTTCAAGATAAATCAAAAATATTATGGTGATATCAAAATAGGACTTGAACATTTTTCTTAAAGCTTATGATCTTTAGTTTCAAGAATTGTGAAATGCAAAAATTTCAGAACTATTGAAATTCGATGCCCACATTTTCTTATTAGAGTGTATTATCGCTTAATGTAAGTGCACAATAAATTATTCATTTCTATGAGTCTCGTGATGTCTTACCCTATCGACAATTGGAAATAAAACGTACACGGAAGTAAGAAAGTTTTAGATATTATCATTTTAAAGTACCTTACTGAAGACAACCAAGCACGATAACCAACTTCCGCGAATGACGACATACAACAAAAAAAAATCTTGTCTTGTTGGAAATTTCTAGTTGAAAACAACAATCATTATGACATATCATCGGACACTAATGACTCACTCACCTAGTAGAATCTGCTCTCAGTTATGCACTTAGTTTATACCTTCGTAGTAATGGGTCTGATGCAATCATTTAGATATGAAAAAAATATAAATTTATTTTACTATCAAATGAAAATTTTCTGTTAGAGGAAAGTTTCTGTAAGTATGTGTTCTAGATTGAAAACGTTTTGATAGTGCTGCTCTCTTTAATTTTCAACGAAATAATTCTTATTAGAGTAACAAGAATATGCTGATGCTCCTAATGAGCATGTGTTATTTATCTTTCTTTTTCAATTCTCAAATATATCATATAAAAATTTTCTGGATTTAGTAATTGTTTCAATAATTCATATAGATGTCGCCGATGAGATGTGCATCTATTTAAAATTGCAAGGAAGAAACTTTTAAACTCTCTGTCAGTATACCGTCACGTCATTGGAAGAAAAATCAAGTTATAAAGAATGCATAAAAATGAATAAGCTTCAAGATGCATCACATATAGAGTAACTTTTTATGACGACATCTATCCAATAAAGAAAATAAATAAATGTTCTAGGACGAAGTATACGAAATTCGTACGGACTCCGTATTACGGCTGTATATCTCCGTATTGCAAACGGAGAAGTACGACTGTTTACAGAAAAATACGGAACCATGTAATACGCCAAAATACGACGATTTACAAACATGCTCGTTCAACCTGGGATCTGCTTACTATATTACTCACGTGGTATGAATGTTTATATAAGATGCACTTACCTTTCAATGATTCACAGCTAATATTGTCTAGTCACTTTTGTCCTTTCGTACTGAGAGTAATTACTCACAGCTGCTACACTTAAATGAATTATTAATGAAAACTATAGACATTCATGCAGTGTTTTTAAACTTTTTTTTTCAGCAACCATGTTTTTCTTTATTTGCACTATTTCAATAGTAGGAAAAAATGAATCACTAGATAACAGTGTCAAAAGATAAGTTTTAGTATCACTGACTGTTACTTGTTGTGTAAGACTTTACAAGATTATAAACATGGTTTTCTTTTATAACAATATGATATCACCACCTATTGCCACATCTCAATATAGTACGTTGGGTCTGTCTACGTTGATTATATTGAACTGAAAATCATATAAACAGAAAAATAACCGTATTTAGAAACGATCATTATTAAAATGGAATAGTGACATAAAACAATTAGAATCCTACTGTAATAAGTAAGTTCACAGGAGTTTGCATTGTTTTTTGTATTTTTTAGACATAAAATTTAGTTTATTAGAATACTATTAAAATTGATATGCGAAATCTTCGTCGCAGAATAGGAAAGATTTCAGTTTAGTAAAAAAAATTGTATTTGCACAGATCAAAATTTTAATCTGAACTAGTTGAAATTCAAATGATTGCGAACTCGAGTAGTTCATATGAGATCCTCCTTGCAGAATAAAAGTCCATCCGAAGTAGAAGCCCAGTCTCATGACTATAACTTTCCAAATGTAATAGAAGTCCACTGAGTTCGAAATATGTACATATAGTGGAATCAAGAACGCAAATAATTTTGTTGATAATGTTCACTGTTCTCAATTAAATACTGATGTGCTCGTCAATCTAATTCTTTCGTTCTTCAAATATTTTTCTTGTTGGACTGATTAACTCTGTATGTCAGCAGTGACGAGTCAATAACTCTGCTTTTAAACAATTGTTTTTCTTTTTATTCTAATTCGTAAGATATATAAGGGTGTCTCGAGTGAAGGGGATGATCGGTGGTCACCCCTAGGAGAGCCCATCAGAATCGATCCGGACTCGGACTCACTGGGGGGGGGGGGGGGGGTTTGGGCCGAGTTCGGATCTGAAAAGTTTTACTGCTCGGATTCTAATGGGAAAAAAGCTTTGATGGATAAAATATTTTTTGTTTTATTCAAACAATCTTTAATTTATTTATAAGAAAACTAGAAAAAAAACGATAAAACTCTTCTTGACTACAGTATCTAAATCTATTCGGCATGGGGGTTCAGGCTCAGAAAAATTTAACGAGCCAGGTTCAGATCGGATCCAGACCTAGATCCATGCCTAGAAATTCTTGGATCTGATGGACTCTATCTCCAATCTTGGAAAATTGTTTTTTTTATTTACTCGACAATTCACAAAAAATTTTTGAAAAATTTCCGAAAAAATCTTCGACCTGCTGCCTAGATTTTTCAATTCTAGAAACTCCTAGATATATAACGGATGGTCTATAATAAATAATGGTGTTTGTATTTTGTTAACATCTTAAGTGTTACCTTATCGCTCACCCTTTATTTTTTTATCAAAAGATTCACCATCTGATTCTGCACAAACTGGTATGTTTCATTGCAAAAAATACTTATCTCTTTATCTTTCGATATCACCATGGTTTAAAACCAGCATTGCACACAACTTGCAAAATCTTCATATTTTTCAATTTTCTCCGAAAACATCCAGTCCGTGAATTAGTCTTATTATGTATGATTGTGACATATTCTTTACTCAGCAATGAAATAAATCGGCTTAGGCACGTTGATTGAAATGAACTAATTCATCTCTTGAGTAGCAAACGCATTATACCCAAAGTTACAGAATTAATTGAGGAATCGAATGTTTTCATAGAAAATTGAAAAAAATGAAGGTTTTGCAAGTCGTGTGCAATGCTAGTTTTAAATCGTGGTGATGTCGAAAGATAAAGAGATAAGTATTTTTTGCAATGAAACATACCATTTTGTACAGAATTAGACGGGGAATCTTTTGATAAAAATAAAGTGTGAGGAGTAAGGTAACGTTTAAGATGTTAAGAAAATACTGGGACCATCTTGAGGATGGGTGTGGGTGTGAGTAGGGTGTGGGTGTGTGTGGGTGTGTGGCGTGGGTGTGTGGGTGGGGTATGAGTGTGGGTGTGGTTGGGGTGTGGGTGTGACTAGGGTGTGGGTGTGTGTGAGTGGGTGTGTGTGGGTGTGGGTGTAGGTGTTGGTGTGGATGTGGGAGTGTGGTTGTGGGTGTTGAATGTCTCGTCATCCACATTCCCAACCACAGCCGCACCCCACCCACACCCCATCCACACCCACACTCCACCCACACTAACACTCCATCCACACCCACACCCACGATTAATAAATCTTATCTCAAATCCTCATCAAAATATTTTGACTCAAATCGATTCATTAGCACATACTATTTCATTGTAATTCATTGTTTGTCATTAGTTTCTGATAAAAGCAAAAAAAATTTTAATACTTAGTTAATAAACTTATCTATATGCTGATATTCATTTTTTCATGCTTAACTTTCCTCGTGCTCAACTTCCACCCATCCATTATTATATATGTTATTTATTTTTCCCTTCTATTTGTTCTGTCATATTTATTTTCCTTTATGCTCTCTTTTCGTATATGTTTTTTCTCTCAGTCATAATCTTGGTTGGATATTTTTCTTTTCTGCCAGTTCTCTTTCATGCGCTTAGCAGGTATTTTCTCTTGTAGGATGTGGCTGTGGATTTATCAACATTCTCCACGTACGATACTTTCGTGCGTAACACTACGACGCCGACACTTACGCC